CATCCAGCTGACTGTGATGGTGCTGGGGTAGAATCCATACACGTGGCAGGAGAGGATCAGCGTCCCGTGTTCCTCTTTTCCAGACACATGGACATCTGGGCACTCTGGAATGGGATAATGGTGAGGAACATCCATGGAATTCCCATTGGAATGGGATTAGGGTGAGTTCTACCTATGGAATTCTCACAGGAATGGGATAAGAATGAGATCTGCCCACAGAATTCCCACCAGAATGGGATTGGGGTGAGATCTACCCATGGAATTCCCACAGGAATTACTGCGTTCCCAAGTCCTCCATTCCCAAATCCCAAACTCCCACAGGAATTCTGCTCCCACCTTTGCGCTCCAGCTCCTTCTGCCCAAATCTGACATATTGCTGGAGCGATTCCGGGCAGACGTGCCCCAGGTAATTTGTCCAACGCTCAGCCACGGTCCCTTCCTGTTCCCAGCGCCTCCTGGTGATCTCAGCAGCGCTGTCGGCCGCCACGAATCTCCCGGATGCCAGGTCAAAGGAGATGAAATCCCGCCCGTCGTAGCTATCCCGGCGGGATCCACGGACACTCCCGTCGGACAGGAGGTCACAGCCGGTAAGCCACTGTATGGTGTGGAGACCTGGGGGGATTGTACCCACAGAGCCCCATGGAATTGCATCCCAGCCCCACAGAGCCCCATTCCAGCCCTATGGTGCCCCAGAGTGCCTACAGAGCCTACAGAGCCTCATCCCAAGCCCCTTGGATCCACATCCCAACCCTATGGATCCCAAGCCAACCCCACGGATCCCATCTCAGCCCCACAGATCTCATCCCAGCCCCATGGATTCACATCCCAACCCATGGATCACAAGATATCCCATCCCAGCCTAATGGATTCCCATTTTCAGCCCCTTGGAGCCCTGTGAATCCACATCTAAGATCTATAGATCCCATCCCAGCCCCATAGATCCTCACCCCAGCCCTACAGATCCCATTCCAGCCCCAGAGATCCCCATCCCAGCCCTACAGTCTTCACTCCACACCCCAGCCCCAGGGTTCCCATCCCAGCCCCACGGATCCCATCCCAGCCCCACGGATCCCATCCCAGCCCCATGGATTCACATCCCAACCCATGGATCACAAGGTTTCCCATCCCAGCCTAATGGATCCCCATTTCAACCACTTGGAACCCCAAGGATCCACATTTGAGACCTATAGATCCCATCCCAGCCCCATGAATCCCCACCCCAGCCCTATAGTTCCCATCCCAGCCCCACAGATCCCCCCACTCACCCCTGGTCTGGTTGTACCGCTCCCGCCGTATCTCCAGGTCCCTGGCAGTCGTGTGCTGGTTCCTCACACAGATCTGGGTCTCCCTCTCCCA